CAGACAACCTCTCGTCAATATGCGTTTTTTGCATTGCATTACTGCAAAAAACGCATAAAAAATGACGATAATCGATACAATCTGCTCATTTTTCAAGAAAATAGAAATTTCTTAAAATGCTTTTAAGGATTTGAAGTCAAAGCAGAAGTCAAAATTCGCTCCATATTTACTCTCTATGAAACGCGGAGGCATTCGGAAGTAGTTCGAATGACAGCACGTGCAAACAGTGACCAAAGGCTTCCTCCTTCAGTTAGCTATAGCAGCCACTGGCTTCCTCTTTCAATGGCTTCTTTTTTCTAGAGCTGCTTAAAATCAACCCAATGATGGGTTCGATTACTTGATAGTGTCAGTACTAATCAAAGTGAATGAACCAATCGGGGAAAAACTACTTTCCCAGCGCTGAAATAGAACCGTTGATCTGCAGCATGAGAACATCGCCATTTTTCCTCTGCGCCATATCCATCAGTGCGTTCCTAAAATAAGAAAATATTTTGCATTATTTGTTATTATCAAAATATTCGTAATTAAAAGGAATGCTGCGGGTATGCATCAGTAATATTTGAAGCGCTGCAAAGAAATGGTTGACACCGCTATTCAAAAGGATGTAATCTTGCAAGCGAAATATTTGCTTCTAAAATTCCATGGCAAGGATTCAGGAAGATTTTTGTTTAGTGAATTGCAGGATGACGATCATGAAACTGAAGCTTCATGAAGAAGGATGTGAAAACTCGGGAGCCATCGATGTAGTCGTTACAGTGACACCGCTAACAGCTCATGAGAAGGATGAAGTAAGTGTACTGTGCTAGGCTAAAACAGAGTGACAGGCTTGCTTCGTTAAGACTACCATGCGTCAGTAAATATGCCTGACGAAAAGAAATGACCATCTGGATGGTTTTCGAAGAACCGAAGAGTGAACATAGTTGTGAAGATTAGAAACAAATAGTTCACGGCAAAATACTGGACATCAACTCATTAACACAGAACCTGTAGAGCCGTCAATTCTTGCGATTCACAAGATTTTGGAATAGTAATTTTCCCATGTTCGCGTTGTGCATTACCATACTAAATGGGATCGCTGACAAGCGATGTAGCGAAGGATACTTGCCGTGTCTCTTCGTGATCATACTAACAGTCAGAATTTCCGTTAGATGAGTGACGTGCAGGCTATCTTGCTATCCATGGTTGCAGGCCTTCTCTTTCCACTAACTTTTTTAGACATTAAAATGTAATCCGTTGCAGTTTCTAAAAAAAGCAACACGCGGGATTATTTGTGAGCGACCAAAGAAGACACCACCAAAAAGTGAGATTCTTCGCCAAAAATCACCTGTTTTATGTTTCATTGCATATATCATAAGGTCTCTTATGCGTACGCTGATAACTTAACTCGGAGGTAACAAAAGCTGCGGAGCTGAGGAGTACCCTTTTAGCTGCGTGCCAAAAAACCCCATAAAATTGCAAATGAACAGCCAAATCCCACTTTAAGCTTTAATTTTCTAAAATTGTTTACAAAATTCGGCTAATATTCTAGGAAAGGAATATACAGTTCTGAACTGGAAAAATCCGGCCCGTAGTCTTTTTAAGAAGCACAAATTTATGGCGTTCGCAATTTCTTAGGCTACCTGATCCGACAAAGAAGTATTTTCCTAATTTCTAAGGTTATTTTTTGCAACTGAAGAAATGTGATGCAGCTACCCAGGTTTGGACATCCGTAGTGAATATTATTTTGGTCGAAGGACGAAAACTATCAATTCCGGACAGCCCCAAAAACAGCTTCCCGGATTCATTTGTGAAATTCAAGCTTGGTGGCGAAAAATATAAAAGCAAGGTATTTCTTTTGCATTTATGACAAGGAACTATGCAGCAGATAACAGTAGCACTTTTTTATTATTCCAAAAAATTTTCTAGCGAAAACAAGTCAGTTTTCTAAAATTAAAGTTCAGAATCCCCCATCCATTCAATGTGTGCTAAAACACTCAAAAGTAGTCCGAATGGTAGCAAATGCTAAAAGCAATCATCCATTGACAGTACTGTCGATGGTTATTTCTTTCGAGGATTGCTCACAAGCAAGCTGATTTTGATCGTTTGATTTTCATCAAGACGAATGAACCATTCCTAGGGACATTGATTGTATTTTTTCCTCTTCGGACCCAAGATTTTCTGAACGAGATTAATTACTATTGTATAATGAGGGCAGTTTTTTTCTGGATCTACTTGAGTTACAAAAACTGTGCAATTTGCAGCCGGTCTTGCGAAGCAGTAATCCGAAATGGCTGGAGCAATTTGATTTGCATATGTTTGATGAAACGAAGCATGTTCTGGAAATGATAGTCATCGATAAGAGGACCAACATCCCCATCGGCAAGTACGTCCCGAATCAAGCTTACAGAGAATTCTGAGTTTATCTTTTGTAGAAAAAATGAAATGCTTTTGTGGAGCAAAACAGCGAAGTGTTTTAAATTTTGGGAGCAAAATTTGAGTGAGGTTTTCAGCTGTCAACGTAGCCCATGATGCATTTTCAGATGCACGTTGGATTTAGATAAACTGGAGAAGGAGACACCGAATCAGCTGCTCTGTGAGCTCGATCGAGGCAACGGTACGGAGTCAATTTTTTTTGAGTAAGATGAAGTAATGATTTGAAAAAGAGGATTGGGAGGACTTTTAACAGTTTTGCAAGCGAGTTAGTACCATTGCAGTCTTAAGAACCGTGGTTTTTCCAGACAAAAGATTATCTTTGTATTTTCCTGCTATTTAAGTCCGCAATTTTGCTTGTTGGCTTAGCATAAACCCAAAAAATTGCCCACCGCGAGATATTCAGTAGAATGAAAGGACGGACATGTGTAGAAACGGAGAGAAGGAGCAGAAATGAGCTAAACACTAGATGCAACGAGTTAGAATTTAACCATGCTAATCGAAATTTTATGTACTCCAACAAATTTGGTGTCGCCTTGTCTTTCAGTTCCCAATCCCAGAACCGGAACGCGACATCTGACAACGAGGGAGAGTTTATTGTAAGATGAGGGAAAGATCGCAGAAGGCTTGGCTTTAAATGCAAAAATGGAGAAGTATTTCAGGGTCGATACTTTTACTGATATCGGTAACGGGTACGACATCTACGGATGCAGTTGTTGACTTGTCCGACTTCTCCAACGACGACATCCGGAATGTTCTTCTCGAAAAATATGTTGGTGTTTTGTGAATCTTTTTTGTTTCATATTTGGACGAAAAAAAAATG